TGTGTGTGTGTGTGTGTGTGTGTGTGTGTGTGTACGTGCGCGCTAAATCAACCATGTTCATTTAAAAAAAATCTTATAGAAGGGAAAATATCCATTGCCTTACAACCAGGGGTGGGAGTCTACAGGTTCGGCCTGGTTCGGGCAAACCTGTAACTCCAAAGATCAGCTGGGAGTGAACTGGTTCGCTCCCATGAGCAAGTGGGCCCACTTGCCTGCCCTTGCACTTTACCTACCTTTATCCTCTCAGCTGAGTCACATGGCAGAGAGGATTGCCATGCCTCAGCTGTTTTCCTTCCCAAACAGCAATCCGGAAGGTAAATATTCTCTGAACTGTGCACAAATGCTTAGTGCACATCCTGAAGCACACACTCAGCAAACCAGTTGCTAAACCGGTAGGATCCCACCCCTGCTTATAACATTCCTTCTATGGTAGGCCAGAATTTTTATCTCACATTCACAGAGGAGTCTCTAAACACGGACAACTTATAGCTGTGGTGGGGTTTTGAAGCAACAGCATTCTCAAATCACAGCTTATTCTTTTGTTCCCGCCCTAGTGGATCTACAAATGTAATTTGGAATGCATTTTATTTGCTCAATTCTATGTTTCTTCAGCAGAAGACTAACAGTTGAATAAAATCTGTATGTAAGTTTAATAAAATGTGAGCATTACAGAATCCTTACTCCCAAATTTAGTTGGCAGTCGACTGCTGAAAATGTATTTTACACTGGCTCTTCTTTTAGCTATTCATATTAGATTTGGTAGAAAAGATATTATATTGTACCCCCAAAGGAGAAATATATATATATCAAAATTTGCCTATGTATATATTACATTTCTAAGCTGCCTGACTCACGAATTGTCTCTGGTGGCATTCTTGCTTTTGATTTAGTTAGAGCTGAGTGTATTGTATCGCATCTTTCTATATGAAATTCCAAGAAATGTCTCATAAAGAACCCCCATGGGACTTAGTCATGCTAGGAAAGAGAGGGAGGTTATCTAAGCAGCAAAATATCTGAATACTGCCTAGATCTGATTGGATTGCGATAGTATTCAAACACCATAAATATGATAAAGGAAGAACAACAGTTCCTCTACTTCATCTTACAAGTTCAAAAAAGCCACCCAAAGAAACTCTAAAGCCTGTGGAGGAAGAAAAGTAGAGAGCAAAATATTCAGGATTTCAGGCTGATCTTAACTGGTCCTGACTAGCAACTTTCCTTTCCTTTCTTTCCAGGGTAAAGAGAAGTTTCTAGCCATCCTTAATAAATACATGGAGATCCATGGCACTGTTTATTATGAAACCCAACGCCCACCGGAGGTTCCAGCTTTTGTGAAGAATCATGGACTTTTGCCCCAGCATGACTTTCAGCAGCTGCTGAGAAAAGCCAAGGTATTGGCCAGATAATTCTGTTCTCCAGCTGAGGAATGTGTGAATGCTAAAGGAAAGAGCCTGGTGAGATTCAATCAGCCAAATTGCAGGCACCTGGCAGGCAGCAGAAGTAGCCTGCAGTACTGCATTCTAACCACTGTGTCACCGCAGCTCTTAAAGAATAACAGATTAACAGTTGGAAGGATCTTGGAGGTGTTCTAGTCCAACCCCGTGCTTGAGCAGAAA